TGAATTTTTCAAGGTTGACCCAGCCAGGTAATGTTCACAAAAAATGAATTTATGAGGATGAAGCACGTATCAAAATATTTATACGAGAAGGTAGCCACCCTAGCATTTGATTCATTTTCAGAATAATAAATAAATAACAAACCAATATGGAAAAAGGAGAAATGGGGGAGAAGTTGAAATGGGCAGATTTCCCCATCCCTCCTCAGTCCGGACTTGCTTCTTGAAGTGCTTGTTCCCTCACTAGTAACAATAGGGACACTTCCAAGGAGGTCTTTGCTTTCCTTGTCAAGGTCTGCTTGATAGGCCAGAATTTCCCCTCTCTCTTTCCTCCGAATCTCCAGGCGGCGACAGATCTCTCCCTGACAAGAAAAGGGAAAATTCAGCTTTGATTGAGACACAAAGAGAGGAGATGAATATTCTACTGGCTTCTTGGGTCCAGTGGCCTTGCTATAATAGCAAAGTAATTGACTAGAGGAAATAAAAATACAGAGGTTTTCAACCTTTTTGGGTCCACGGCTCCCCGGACCAACTCCCTTCTTTCTGCGGCACCCCTGTGGGGCTTAGGAGACCAGTTAGGTCCCCCCTTGCTTGCCTCCCCTCCCCCTTTCTCCAACAGCCTCCCTGGCGGAGTGCTCTCTCAGCCTCCTCTCCTCTCCCCTCTCCTTAGGAGTCCTCCTCTTGGTCTCTGAGCTGCCCCCGCTGCCCCCCAGGGACCTGGGACTTGCCTGTCCATTCCCAACAGCAAGGGCCCCTTGCCAGTTGGCTTGCTTCCTCTGAGGCCGCCTCAGCTCCTGGCAGCCCACACCCCCTGGCCAGCCCCAGAGGCACCATTCTCTGGGGGAGAACAGCTGGGCAAGCCTTGGGGAGGCAGAGATGGCATCCGAGGAGGGAGGGAAGGAAAGAGGGACAGAGGCCAGTGTCTCCCGCGGCACCCCTGACCATCATTCAAGGCACCCCAGCTGCCACAGCACACTGCTTGAAAACCACTGCAGAACTGGGATGGGAAAGGTTTCTAGTCCAACTAACTGGTCTGGAGAAGAGGAAAGGCAGCCATGCTTGCTCCTTTGTCTTCTCCGAGGAGACTTCCAGCCTGACTTCTCATCTTGAGGCCCCAGCGAGAAGTGGGAAGAGGAGGAGGAGGAGGAGGAAGCATCCCCAGAAGAAGTGTGCTCCCCACCAGTAGATGCTTCCACCCCCCACTCCTAAATCTGCTTCCAACAGATACTTGGGGGGGGGCGGGCATCCTGCACCATCTGGTCAATTCCTGGTGCTAGGAGAATTAGAAGGTCTAAGTGCTAGGAGAATTAGAAGGTCTAAGATATAAACACATACATAAATACCGTAAGTAGTTCTCATCACAAAAGAATATGCAGGTAAACGCATGAACAGCCAGGTAAACCCATCAACAGGTTTCCTGCCAGACAGGAGTCTGTTGTAGGCCGCCCCTTCTGTGATGTATGTATGATGTTTGGAGGGGTGGTCTTGGGCTCCAGGGTGTGCAATTTCAAATGTCTATATAAGGATTTGGTTCGGGGTCTCCTCCTCCCTCCTGCGTGGGGGGGGGGTGAGACCCTGTTGCAACAGTTAATAAAGATCTGGCTTACTAGCTGCTTTGCTTCTCAATATTCTCCGGTTGGCCTCTGTTATTTTCTCCTACCGATATAGAAGCTACAAAAGGACTCTATATGGGCTCTGAGGTACCCCAGAAGGGAAAAGGAGCCATTTTTTCCTTATAACACTGGCCACCAGTCCCCACCCCCTTGCAGTGACCCCTTGCTGATCTCTGCTTGGCAGGGTATTGAGGAGGCATCCTGCTAGCCAAAGGAGACATGTGCAATTCACATTTGTAGTGTGCTAAATATGTACAAAGCAACCTTGCTGGGGGATGTGGATGAGGTTAACCCTTTCTCTCCCTGCCATGGTCCCATGAAGCTGCTGTATTTCAAGGGAAGATCCCTTGGCCCCCCTGGCAGAGAGAAAGACTTCGACTCCCTCCTACCAGCCATCCCAGATGGGGGCTTCATCCTCCTTGCAAAAGAGTTTCAGGGGCTCCTGGTGCTTCTCACAGACTCCTCCTTTCCCTCTGGAAGACTGAGAGTCTTGGCTACTTCGGGGGGGCCACCAGGTGGCGCATTGGAAGATGGCTGACAATAACATCTCTCTGACCCATACGAGGTACTAAGGGGCTGCTATGGGAAGTAGGCAGCCTTCCTAATGCCCCCCCCAGGATGCGGGGGGCTCTGCCCTGCCAGCGGTGTTCACAATGCACCCCCTGATACAAGTGATGGGGGTGCCGAACACTTGGCAAAAGGCCCTCGGTGGAGTCAGATCTTCCTGATGCCGATTCCAATCAGCGCATGCTGGTTGCTTCAGCTTGGAATTATAATTGGAAACATACGATTGGAAATAAAGCTGAAAGCACATACATCAAGTAAAGCTCGAAGATAAGACTGCTGATTTATGGATCTCTGCTACCAGGAGTGACGGACGGATAAGTAAATCTTCTGATGAATTACCACAAGGAGATTGTATGTTTGGAACGAAGGGGGGGTGGAGGAAAAACCTCTTTTTTCCCCTGCATGATGTGACATAAATAAACCTTCACCCCAGATAGAAACAAGATCGTTGCGTTTTTATGAATCACAGGCAGGATTTTAAGAACTATGTGGGATGGATTAAAACAGGAAAGAAGACTGGAGAATGGTGAGAAAAGTGGAAAATTCTTATGACGCAGTTAAAATATGGCGTCTCACTAAGACAGGCTTGTCGGAGGAAGAAGGACTGGGGGAGGAGAATCAGGACTGTTCGAACGAGAAGGAATGTTGGAATGCAAGTTTGACCTGACAGAGCCCCCAGACTCATTTGATTTATTTGATTTAATTACAGATCGGAGACTAATCTTGTGTATGGAAGCGTTGTACAGAAGCTGTCCCTGATCGATATGATTTTTGGAAGAGTACAAAAAATCCACATAGAATGCCAGCTTTCAACCTGCTTGTGAAAATCATCAGAGATCGCAAAGAAAGGAATTTATGATAACAACAAGAGAAAGGAAGTAATAAAGGACTATCCGGATCAAACTGGACAGAACTGTCTAATGAAAGCAGTAAGATAAGTGATGCTGTTTTGGACTCGAGCCGAGCTTGATGTATGGGCACCCCCAACAAAATTTAAAAATTGGCTGTATAATTTGGAACTAATGTGATATGATAATGTGATGTGATTGGCCTGTTAATTAAAATTATTATTTTTTAAAAAGAGAGAGAGAGTCTTGGCTACTTCGACAAAGGTAGCCAATTGCCGCTTGCGGACGAGGCTCCTTCTCTGGACTCCAACTCGGCCTTGAGGACAGGAAGCCAGCCTCCTTTTTGCCCCGCTGCACTGGATCAGGCCGGACCGACAGAAGTTGTGCCCACACTCTGGGATGGTCCCTGTGTCGTAAGAGAGTCAGGGTCAGAGAGGGGAATGAAGGAGAAGGACCCTACCAATATCAAATAGATCGTATTCTGCCTTAACACCCTACAAGAAGGTCAACGGTGCCTTGGGGAATGGATCCTTTTTCGCTGTATCGAATTGTATCCTTTTTCGCTGTATCTTTCTCATTGACTTTAAGAATGGATCTGAATGTATTTTTCAACTCAAATGTGTTTTTCCTCAAAATGCTGTACTTTTCTAAATGTATCCAAATGTATCCGAATGGGTTTTTGTATTTCCCCCCAATCTCATCGCCTAGAGAATGTTCCTTAAATGTAACAATCACTTGTTCCAAATGTATTTGATTCAAATGTATTCGAGTGTATACTCTTTTATGGGAAAACGTAGCTAGGAAAATGTGGATATATATATATATATATTGCTTATAGTGCCTTTGAACGGTCAACGTTCCACCCTTCACGAGCTGCCAAAAACACTCTCCACACCACACTGCCACCTACTGGGTCTACAAATGATATCATGAATACACACAAATACAAGCTCTAAAATAAATTAGTTTTATTTTCCAATAAGTATGCAAACATAAGACTATCACACCTGAATTGATAGCTATGCAGAACAGGATTTTCCCCCCTCCCTCCATCGGATAGCTGCCTGCGCGGCTGTCTTTGAGGGGGGTGGAGGAAGGAGCGGGCGGGATCGACATCGGATAGCTGCCTGCCTGCCTGCCTGCCTGCCTGCCTGAACATGCCGTGCACCCGGGGAAGCGCTGCGACCGGCGCCCATTGGGAAGGAACAAGACAGGAAAAGGAAGGAAATGGGAGAGGTATTTTTAAGGCCCCACTTTTCACATGGTGTCCTGTTGTGTGGTCGGAAAGTACTCTTTATTGTTTGATTTGGGTTAATGTCAGAATAAAAGTGAGTTCCTTCAAAATAACACATTCCTTTTTATCTTACCAATTTGCGTGTGTAGGTGCCCAGGCCACCCCTCAAATAACTTCACACATAACACGTAATTTAGTTTTGGTTTTTGGGCACTATTTTGGCCACAACTTTATTAAAATACAAAATCAGTGAGTGGTTGTTTAGACATTGGTTATGACTATCTGTCCCCCCGCCTGGGACAGAACTGACATCCCGAGGTCCGATCGGTAGCCAGTAGAAGGGAAAGTCAAACTTGGGGGTCATTTGAGCTAAGCGTCGGACCCACACCGCTCACCCCAGCAGCTCCCCGAAAGCTTGCCGGCCCGGTCCTATGACAAGGATTCCCATGACAGGGATTGGGCGGCTCTGGTCCCATGACAGGGATTGGACGAAATCATGGCAAGCCCCAGGATTCCTTTAACGGAATTCCCTTCAGCGCAATGGGAGGGGCAGGCACGGCCTATCCTGACCCCTCCACCACCAGCATATTATAACCAATGCCTAACCGCCACCCGAGCTTTAACACTCGCCGCCAACCACTCACAAACCCAACCAGGAACCTAATTTTTCAGTCACAGCATCCAACCAAATATCATTCCCCAAATCAGAAAGGTGTACTCCATCCGCCCGGTAAAGGGCTACCGCCTTAAAATAAATGCTGGGGTGGGGAATCACCAAACCACCCAGCTCCAAAACCTTCTTGCACACTGCAGAGTTAATGCGTTTCCTGGCCTTCTCAGCAGCCTCCGGGCGGGGAACACCGCGCCAGGATTGCCTCTGCAACAAGTGAGACCAAATAATTCTCACAGAAGGAAGCAAGGCGGCCAAATGCTCCAAGTCCCTCATGATAATGGAGCGCAAAGAAAGGCAATCAACAGTTGCTACATCATTTTCCCCCAGCTGTACTACCATGGCCGTAGGGGGAGGGGAAGAAAGCAGCCGACGCTCAATAAGCAGCAAAAACTCTTCCCACAGCATTCCGCGTCTGGAAATCCATGACACTTGCACGTGTTGAGGGAGGCCGAGACACGATCCCCTGGCAGATTGCCTCGCTCTGATGCCAGCCCAATGAACGATGCTGTGTCCCACTATCCAGACGCGGACCGGCGAGGGATCTACAAGGGAAACAACAAGCATTAGTAACAAAATCAACATTTGTTATGCACATAACCCTTGAAGGCATCAGATTTCCACCTCCCCAGATCCTTAATCCTGGCAGCTGACAAACCCCAATGGGCTGCCATGGTCGCTGCCCCTATGTGAAAAGAATGAGGGGCAAAACCAGATGCCGAGATTCCACACGCCGCAATGACCTTACGCATGATTTTTGTGAACTGGTGACGCGCCAGAGGGCGACCACCTTCATACAAGAGCAAGGGACCATCCCCAGGAGGCCTCAAGGCCAAGTACCTCCTTATGTCCTTGACCGGGCATGGGCCCGCCTCCCCAGTGGCGGGGAGGCGGATAACCTCCCCCCGACCCAACTGGTCAGTTTTGGAGTTGCGCACTAATAGTCTCAACTCCAGGGGGGACACGCTAATATCCTGGAAGAGCAACCCACGGGAACCGCCAGCAGAATTGCACTCCACTACAACCTTTCCCACCCGGAGGGCTCCAAAAAATGCTAATGAAAACGCCACTGAAAAAAGGCGTGCTTCATATTTAGACCAGCACACACTCCTCAATTTGGAGCGCATTCTGGACGACAACTCAAAGGTGACAGGACGCCTGGCAGCCGTCCTGGGGGGGGGGGGCAAGTCTGCCCCACCCTTCCATGGCCTTACGCACCACAAATATTTTACAAGGATCCTTGTCATACAAGGACTTGCTGAAAAAAGAAATTGCTGCAGAATGAATTCTCAAAGTTCTGGCAGCGCGGCCCAGCTGAAACAAATGAGCTAAGTATTGCAAGACCTGAGAAGTGGTAGGAGGGGGTTTAAAATTGCTGGACGCCGACTGCGTGAATTTTAAAAAGTCAGCCCAAGCTTTTTTATAGGATCGCAAAGTGGACGTAGAAATGGAAGCTGCTACTCCCTGCATGACTAAGTGTTGCCAAGATTCCAGAGGTGCGGTGGAAAATACTCTGGAAGCTTCTGAGCTTCTGGAGCCAGGGACCAGAATCGCTCCATCTGAAAACGGGATAGAACATCAGCAATCTCGTTAGATATACCGGGGATGAAGCGTGCCGAAAACACAATATTAAACCTCAGACAATGAAGGACGAAGGCCCGCAGAAGGGAGAACGGGACGACTGTTTTGCCAGCACGTTCACCACCGCCTGGTTGTCGGACCAGAAACATATCCGACGGTCCCTGAATTCAGCGACCCATAAATGCACTGCTACTGCAATGGGAAAAAACTCGAGAAATGTTAAGTCTCGCGTAATCGCTTCCCCTTGCCATTCAGGCGGCCAACGCATGGCACACCATCTTCCATTCCAGTACAACCCAAAGCCTAAGGAACCAGCAGCATCAGAGTGCACTTGAAAATCATTGTGGAGGTTCAAAACGTCCTGCCACAAGGATACACCATTGAATTCCTCTAGGAATTCCAGCCAGACCTGCAAGTCCGCCCGTACCTGCGCGGACAATCGCACCCGATGCTGTGGGGTCCGTAGTCCAGCCGTGAGCCTGGCCAGACGGGAGCAGAAGGGGCGACCAGGCGCCACCACTCTGCATGCAAAATTCAAATGACCCAATAATGACTGAAGCTGCCTCAGAGTAACCTTCCGCAAAGGAAGAATCTCCCGAATAACCTTACGCAGCGTAATTATCTTATCTGGGGGTAAGCTGGATGTTTGGGCATTGTTATCCAACCGGATGCCCAAATATGTCAATTGAGTCGCTGGGCCTTCAGTTTTATCCACCACCAAGGGGACCCCCAATTCTTCCATAAGGGAAGCAAAGGCCTCAAGTAACACAACGCAGTTGCCCGTGTCGTGTGCTGAGGCCAACAAAAATTCGTCCAAATAATGGGACACGCCCCCTAGGCCGGTCTTAACACGCAAGGCCCAATCCAAAAAGGTACTAAAACACTCAAAGGCAGCACATGCAATGGAACAGCCCATAGGCATAGCTTTGTCAAAATAAAACTTCCCCTCAAATTGGAAACCCAACAGCCAAAAGTCCTCAGGATGAACAGGCAGCAAGCGAAAAGCCGACTCAATGTCACACTTTGCCAGCAAGGCCCCGGGGCCAAATTTCCTGATCATCTTGATCGCCTGATCAAGGGATGCATATTTCACTGAGCAAAGTTCCGAGGGAATAACATCATTTACTGACGTGCCTTTAGGGTGAGATAAATTATGAATAAGGCGAAATTCCTCCGGAGCCTTCTTCGGGACAATACCCAAAGGCGAAATATGCAACTTAGGAAACGGGGGTACTGCAAAAAGGCCAGCCATACAATGTAAAGCCAACTCCTTTCCAATCTTCCTGCGGGCGATATCTGGCATTTCCCACACGGACTTCTGATTGCGAGGATTCCGTGCCACGGGCGCCGTGGCTACAGGAATCCTAAAACCCACTGAAAACCCTTCTTTCAGATAAGCTGCAGCCTCGCGGTTGGGATAAGACTGCAGCCAAGGCAACAATGCCGACAGCTTTATCGGCGTATATGCCATAGACAGTAAATCACTACTTTCCAATTCCAGCGGAAGAGGTAGAGGGTGTGGCCTTTGGGGGTTGCTGAGCACCCCCTTTTCCCCCTCGAAAGGGCCGCTTACCCCCTTGACAATTGCTAGCGGGGTGACTCCCACCACACTTATCACACACATGGGGATATCTGCAAGGCTGCCGTTGGCGCTCTCCTTTGTTGAAACCCCAACAGATTATCTTACGTCCGGGCCGAACAGGGGCTGCCTTTGGCTTGGGCTGTTCCAGGGCCTTCCTCTCAAAATGTGGGACCACGTAAGTGGTCCACACGTCCAAATCCCTGCGGTCCCATCGAGCCGTAGGGATTTTTGCAGCGCGACGTCGAAAATTTTCATCGTAAAGGATTGCTGCCTCACCGCCAGCCATGGCCTGTGCCGCGCGGACAATAGACAGGTACACAAAGAGATGCAAAGCTCTCCGAGGATAAGAAGCCGAGACAACCCCAGCAAAGACCTGGAAGCTATCCAGCCAGCGCTCAAAAGTCCTATCCGTCTTTCTAAGCGCAGTCCGCCTCTTTGGGGCAGATACAGCTTTGTCAAGAGCATCCAGGCTTGCGGTTGGTGGTGCCAGATCAAAAATGTCCACATAGCGACCATCCAAAATCCTGGACCGCAATTTAGAGGACAAATGAGCCCCTGGTATAATGTCTCTAACAGAGTTAGTAGAGACTTTTACATCAGGAACCAATCTACCATTGCGGCAATCAAGGATTGCCCCATACCTGGCCCTATGTGAATTAGCCCTGCGTTGCCATGCCCATTTTGGCAAACCACCAATGGGCTCTCCAAAACCCCAATAAAGACCCAGGGAGGTGTCGGCCTCGTCCCGAACTCTCAGAAGATGTTCCCGTGGAAGAAGATGAAGACTCGCCCCTCCTCCTCTTGGCACGTCTTTTGGAACTCTTCTTACGGCGGCGATGCCCCCCGGAAGAAGATTTAGCCGGAACAGGCAAGCTGTCCTCCATTGAAGAGTCCACATCTGCCTCAACTTGTGCGGCACCTGAGGTAGACTGAATAGAAAAATCATGTGAGAGACCCGAACCCGACGGTAAAACAGGGGAGGACTGAGCTGGCAAAATTGCCCTGGCAGGAGTCGATCTCCTGGCCCGCTTCCCCAAACGTCTCCTAGCTGAGCATCTCCCCCCCCCCGAGCCAACCTGAGGCACAGGTAAGGCAAGGGACCGGGGCAGGGGTTCCGACAACAAAACCCCAGCCCCTGCAACTTCACTCCCATCTTCACTAGATGATGACGGAACCGGGGAAGAGGCAGGCGCCGTAGGAGCAGGCACCAGCGAAGTCGATGGTTGGGAAGCACAGCGTCAGATAAGGCCGTCCACCTCCGCAGCAAGACGTGCCAAAGCCACAGGGTCACCTGATATCCCTGGTACCAGTGATTCCAATTGACCCCCATACTGAGGTGGGGTTGGAGAACGCAGGGATTGTGACGGGCCCTTAATGGGCCGCTTAGCAGAGACGACCGTCACCGCCTTTTTCCCAGCCTTTTTTGGGGCCATATCTGATAATAAAAGACAGTAAAGTTAGCAATAAAGCTGGACTTTAATAAAATGATAGAATAAAATAAAAATAAAAATAAAAATAAAAATAAAAATAAAAATAAAAATAAAAATAAAAATAAAAATAAAAATAAAAATAAAAATAAAAATAAAAATAAAAATAAAAATAAATAATTGATTAATTTTAATCCAAAATTAATCCAGTAAATAAAATAAATTAAACTCCAATTAAATTAAAATTAAATAAAATGAGTGTAATGGATTTAGGGGTTGCTCGTGCGTAAGGTGCCGCCACTGCTGGCGAGGTTACCTGGTTAAACCCTTTCTGACTGAACAGCCTCCAGCATCGTGACTGCCTCAGTCGCTGGCAGAATCCGTCAGTGGGCGTTTCTTGAACCTTTTCCAGCATAAAAGTTGTTTGACGCCAAGTCTCCTCCTACTCTCCCTGCGCGGAAGTCTTCTGCACAGGGAGGGTGTGGGCAGCGGAGTACCCGTACTCTCTCCGCTGGTCTCCAGCGAGGAGTCTTGGAGCCTCCTCTCCGATTCCCCCATCTGCCCCCCTTCTCCACTGGTGTTACGCTGATTTCCTTCCCCAGCAGATGGGCTGCCTCTCTCCCTACTGGGACCCTCTCCTGCATCCCTCTGGAGCCTTCCCTCCGCCTCTAGCTCCGATGGCAGTTCCCTGTCATCCACCTCCCCCCCAGGACCCCCTCCGCCCCCGGCCCGACCTTCAGATCCAACCTCGTCCCTTTCCTCGGCCGACGATGCGGGGAAGCCCCTGAAGGAGCTGTCGCTATCTTCTGAGGATTCAAAACCCGCTTCCCACCTGCTCCGATATCTTCCCGCGGGGTGGGCCTCCCAGTCTGATTCTTCTCTCTCTCTGACACTTCCTCTCCCTCCTCTTCGGAGGCCGGAAAACCCACAAAGTCCTCTTCGTCGTCTGTGGTTCCAAATTCTTCCTCCCAGAATCTCATTAGTGGTTTCGGTTTATCTGGGAACAGGCTGTGGAATTCTTCCATTAGATACCCATCATTGATCGCCTCAGCGGGGACCCACGTGTTTTCTGACTCGGGTTCTCCCTCCCAAGCCACCAAGTACTCCACCTGGCGCCCTCGCCACCTTGAATCGAGTACTTCCATGGCTTGGTTGTGGTGTTCCCTCTCCTCTACCCGCGGGTGGGTGGTGACTCCTCCCTCCCTCCCCGAAAATTCCCGCCCCTCCCTGTACGGTGAGAGTAGGGACCTATGGAACACCGGATGTATTTTCATGCTGTCAGGCAACTTGAGCTTGAATGCCACAGGGTTCACCTGCTGTGTTACCTCAAAAGGTCCCAGCCGCCTGGGCTGCAACTTCTTGCACCCTCCCTTTAGGGGTAACCCTTGGGTTGACAACCACACTCGGTCTCCCACCCGTATGGCCTCCCCCCTCCCGACGGTGCTTGTCTGCCTGCCTCTTGTAAACTTCCTTGGCCCGCTCCAAGTTCATCTTGAGTTGCTGGTGCAAGGCCTCCATTTCTTCTACAAACTGCTCTGCCGCAGGTACACTCCAACCTTCCTCCCTCCTCCCCGGGAAGGCCCTGGGGTGACACCCATAATTGGCCATGAGCGGGCTCATTCCCGTAGACACATGTTCAGCGTTATTGTACGCAAATTCAGCCAGCGCTAGTTTCTCTACCCAATCGTTCTGTCTCTCGCTGACGTAGCAGAGTAGGTATTGCTGGAGTATACTGTTTGCTCTTTCTGCTTGCCTGTTGGTTTCCGGGTGGCGCGCCGTCGAGAAGCCCACCTCGACCTGCAACAAGCTCATGAGCTTCCTCCAGAACCGGGAAGTAAATTGTTTCCCGCGATCTGAGATGACCCTCGAGGGAGCCCCATGCAGCCTGAAGATGTGATCCACAAACAACCTGGCTGTCTCCTCTGCCGTCACCGCATGTGAGCAAGCTATGAAATGGCACATCTTCGTCAGGAGATCGACTACTACCATGACTGCTGTCTTCCCCCTTGACTTGGGCAAATCTGTCATAAAATCAATGGACACCACCTCCCAGGGTCTTCCCGGCGTGGGTAAGGGTTCCAGTAACCCTGCTGGGGCAGCCCTCTCCCCCTTTGCCCTTTGGCAGCGGTCGCACCCCCGTACATATTCCCGTACATCTTCCCTCACCCTTGGCCACCAGAACTGCCTGGTGACGAGCAGCATGGTTTTGTGCTGTCCAAAGTGCCCAGCTGTAGGGTTGTCATGGAGTTGTTTGAGTACCTTCTCCCTCAAGGTCTCCCCCGGTACATACAGCGCCCCCTTATAGTACAGCACCCCTTCCTTTTCCTCGAACCCTCCATGGTTTTCCCTCCCGTCTCGGAGTTCCCTGATTTTAGTTTGAGCGAACACGTTGTTTCTAGTCAGCCCGGCCATTTCTCGTTTCCCAACCAAGGCTCCCACACACACCCATCGGTCCTCGGGGATCACATGTCGGATCTCCGGCAGTCCCTCTCCTTCCATGTACTCCGGTTTCCGGGAGAGAGCATCTGCTCTTACGTTTTCCTCTCCCGGCACGTATCGGATCTCGAAGGAAAACTTGGAGAACTCCTGTGCCCATCGAATCTGTCTCTGGTTGAGTACTCGCGTGGTCCTCCAGTATTCCAAGTTCTTGTGATCAGTACAAACCTGGATCTTGTGCTGCGCCCCTATTAACAGATGTCTCCATCAGCGAAACGCGCATAGATCGCCAGCAGTTCGCGGTCATACACCGTATAGTTTTGCTCCGACTTGCTCAGCTTCCTCGAGAAAAAGGCACACGGCTTCCAGTCCTGCTTGCCCCCCCCCCCGGCTGCAAAAGTACCGCCCCAATGGCTCGGTCGGACGCGTCGGTCTCTAGCCTCATGGGCTTCTCCAGATTAACGTGCAGGAGCTGCTCTTCCTTTTTTTTTTTTTAAATGATATTTATTAAGATTTCCAATAAAAAGAACACATCAATAAAAAATTAAAAAGAAAAAAAGAAAAATACACAGTTCAAAAATACACAATACATAATCCAAAACAAAAAAAAAAAAAACCAAAAAAAGACAAAAGACAAAAAAGAAAACAATTAAAAACAATACCACCTTTTCGTCACCATTTTTTAAATTTACTTATTTTCTGGACCTCCTCATACCTCCCTCTTTTGTATTCCAATTCAATTTGTTTGTCCAGCAGTTTCTTTCCCTCTTTTTTAATCCCAATCCTTAATCCTAATATAATATAACATTAAAATTTTACCTCTTAAAAGCCAAATTTCCATTTCCTTTAACTTTTTTTAATCCTAATCCTTAATCTTGATCCATATATAACTTTAAAGCCTGTATAGCTAGAAGCCACTTATTTTCAATCCAACATCACTCTAACATTCTTTAATTTTGCAATGTTTCTGCAGATAGTCTTTGAATTTCTTCCAATCTTCCTCCACCGAATCTTCTCCCTGGTCACGGATTCTACCAGTCATTTCCGCCAATTCCATATAGTCCATCACCTTCATCTGCCATTCTTCCAGAGTGGGTAAATCTTGTGTCTTCCAATACTTTGCGATAAGTATTCTTGCTGCTGTTGTAGCATACATAAAGAAAGTTCTATCCTTTTTAACACCGTTTGGCCGACTATGCCCAGGAGAAAGGCCTCTGGTTTCTTCAGGAAGGTATATTTAAATACCTTTTTAATTCATTATATATCATTTCCCAGAAAGCCTTAATCTTTGGGCACGTCCACCAAAGGTGAAAAAATGTACCTTCAGTTTCTTTACATTTCCAACATTTATTATCGGGCAAATGATAGATTTTTGCAAGCTTGACTGGGGTTATGTACCACCTGTATATCATTTTCATAATATTCTCTCTTAGGGCATTACATGCCGTAAATTTCATACCTGTGGTCCATAACTGTTCCCAGTCAGCAAACATAATGTTGTGTCCAACGTCTTGTGCCCATTTAATCATAGCAGATTTTACCGTTTCATCCTAAGTGTTCCATTTCAGCAGCAAGTTATACATTCTTGACAAATTCTGAGTTTTCGGTTCTAACAGTTCAGTTTCTAATTTTGATTTTTCCACCTGGAAGCCAATTTTCTTGTCCAATTTAAATGCCTCCATTATCTGAAAATAATGAAGCCAGTCTCGCACTTTGTTTTTTAGTTTTTCAAAACTCTGCAATTTCAGTCTATCTCCATCTTGTTCCAAAATTTCCCAATATTTTGGCCATTTGACCTCCATATTGAGCTTTTTCAAGGCTTTCGCTTCCATTGGTGACAGCCACCTTGGAGTTTTATTTTCTAATAAATCCTTATATCTTATCCAAACATTAAACAGCGCTTTCCTGACAATGTGGTTTTTAAATCCTTTATGTACTTTGACCTTATCATACCACAAATATGCATGCCATCCAAATACATTGTTAAAACCTTCTAGGTCCAAAATGTCAGTGTTTTCAAGAAGCAGCCATTCTTTCAACCAGCAAAAAGCTGCTGATTCATAATAAAGTTTGAGGTCTGGCAGGGCAAATCCACCTCTTTCCTTTGCATCCGTTAGTATTTTAAATTTTATTCTGGGCTTCTTGCCCTGCCAGACAAATCTAGAAATATCTTTCTGCCACCTCTTGAAACAATCCATTTTGTCCACAATTTGCAAAGTTTGAAACAAAAACAACATTCTAGGCAATACATTCATTTTTATCGCAGCAATACGGCCCAGCAGTGAAAGCTTCAAATTTGACCAAATTTCTAAATCTTTTTCACTTCAGCCCAACATTTTTCATAATTATCTTTAAATAAATTCCCATTTTTTGCTGTCATGTTGATCCCCAGGTATTTCACTTTCTTAACCACTGTTAAACCTGTCATATTCTGAAACCTCTCTTTCTCCATTGGTGTTAGATTTTTCTCTAAAACCTTAGTTTTTACCTTGTTCAATTTAAATCCTGCAACTTGACCAAATTCTTGAATCAATTCTAAAACTCTTTTAGTACTAGATTCTGGCTCCTGTAACGTCAATACTAAATCATCTGCAAATGCTCTCAATTTGTACTGTTTAGCTCCGACCTGTATACCTTTAACCAACTGGTCCCTTCTAAT